GTGTGATGACACCAACAGAATCACATCATCTGTAGACAGCAGAGAAGGAATCCTGAGGCCACTGAACCAGACTCCCTCCACCCCCTGGCTGCACTGAGAAATTCTGTGCATGCAAGTTATGAACAGATTCTGTGACAACAAGCAGCCCTGGTGGAGTCCAACTCTCACTCTTAAAGGGTCCGACTTACTACTGGCACTGAGAACCAAACTCTCACCCTACTTGTATAGGGACTGAATGGCCTTAACAACAGGCCCACAATCCCATAGCACCCCTCACAGTGTACCTCGAGGGACACAGTCGAACACCTTATCCAAGTCCATAAAACACATGTAGATGATTAGCTAAATGCCCATGACCCCTTGAGGACCTTTAGTGAGGGTAAAACGTTGGTCCAGTGTTCCACARCCAGGACAGAACCCACATTGTTCCTCCAGAATCTGAGGTTTGACTATCGATCGAACTCTCTTCTCCCATACCTCTTAAAAGACTTTACCAGAGAGGCTTAAAACAGTGATGTCCCTGTAATTGGAGCACACCCTTCGGTCCCTATTTTTAAAGAGAGGAAGCACCACCCCAGTCTGCCAATCCAGTGGCACTGCCCCCGATGTCCATGTGATGTTGCAAAGGTGTGTCAACCAGGACAGACCCACAACATCCAGAGCCTTGAGGAGATCAAAGCAGATCTCATCCACCCCCGGAGTCCTGCCTGCATGGAGCTTTTTAACTAGATGACCTCAGCTCCTCTATTCACCCAAGTGTCCAAAACATAGAGCTGTAGATCAGATGACAGGAGAGTCAATCATCAATCTACAACCTACGGTGTCCTGGTGCCACATATACTTATGGACACCCTTATGTCTGAACATGGTGTTCGTGATGGACAATCCGTGACGAGCACAGAAGTCCAACAACAGAACACCACTCAAGTTCAGATTGGAGAGCCTGTTCCTCCCAGTCACGCCTCTCCAGGTCTCACTGTTGTTACCCACGTGGGCATTGAAGTCCCCCAGCAGAATAAAGGAATCCCCAGCTGGAGCACCTTCCAGCAYCCCCACTAAAGACTCAAAGAAGGCTGGACACTCAATCATTTGGTGCATAAGCACAAATGACTGTTAGAGCCCGTCCCCYGCCCAAAGGTGTAGGGAAGCTACCCTTCACTAGTTCTAGACCAGCATCCTTGAATAGATAAAACAAAAAAATCTCTGATGTTGTGTGTGAATGACAATAGAGCTGATTCTGATTCTCATTCTGAAAAAACTAAATTTRGTCAAATTATCCAGGATTTTGTCTAGACTAATTGGTTGCAAACTGTTCTAGTTTCTGACTGGTTCAGGTCATGGTCAAACCAGTTTATGACCATTTAAAATAGTTTCACACTAATACAAACTAATTCAGACTGGTGTAAATTAGTATAGATCAGGGGTGGGCAATAATCCACAAGGGCCACAGYCCTGCATGTTTTACTTGTTTYCCTGCTCTAACACACCTGGCTCAGTCATTGAATTACCTCTTCTAAGTCTGGAAGCCTGATAATCACTCATTCATTYAAATCAGGTGTGTTGGATAAAAAAAAAAACAAGTAAAACATGCAGGGCTGTGGGCCTGGAGGAGCTGGTTTAGACTGATTCAGCCTGATGTCAATGAGTTTAGACTGGTTTTGGACTGGTTCACTGTGTTCTTGAGTTTACACTGACTTATGATTAGTTTATCACCTCCTTGAGTACATGCTCCAAGCAAATTGACAATGTTGCCATGATAACCCAGATGRCTGAGGATCTTGAGCTCTGACATCAATGCCTCTCGTTCCTCTGAATGAGCACTTGCTGTTGATAAACACATGAATCATTAGATTAGTTCATCAGCCTGAAGTGATGGTGATGATGATGATGATGCACAGCAGACTCACGTTTAAGCATCTTGACGGCGACTCTAGTGGCTTTGCAGTCGGTTCCCAAACCGTATGCCGTTGCCTCAACAACCTTCCCAAAYGCCCCTGAACCCAAGACCGGACCTGAAAGAGGAGGAGTCAGTCAGAGGACTGGGAGTGACAGAGCACTTTAGAGAGTCTGAACCAATTCACTGCAGTTTATTTATAYAGCACCAAGTCCCAGCATACGTTGTCTCAGGACACTGTAGATAAAAAGAACAATGTAAAGAAGAAAGCAGCAGATTGTGTTGAATCACTTCATCACAGTCTCCCATCCTGAGCAAACGGTGGAGAGGAAAAACTCCCTGCTAATCAGGAAGAAASCTCCAGCAGAACCAGGCTCAGGACAGGAGACCATCTGCCTCGACCGGCTGGTTGGAGGACAGGAAAGAGACACAGACAAACACAGAAGAACTGGTCCAGGACTGATCCAGGACTGGTCCAGGTGTATTGAGAGACAATGATACCAACGGGCAGAACTTCACCAGTCTATGAAAAACTGCATCTAAACTGGTGGAGAAATTTCAGAATAAAGTTCCTGAATGAAAGACTGAATCTCCWTCATCTCCAATTCATAATCTGATCAACAGATTATTATAATCTGTATTGATCTATGAGCTCAAAGGTGGAAAATCAATTCTGGATTGTTGTGATCCACAGGTCCTCAGGGTTCACTGAAATAAACCCATCTCTGGCTCTGTTCTGGACATCACTGCAGGACCTCAGGAACACTTCCACCTTCACTGTGCCATTCACCAAGGCTGCTTAAAGCTCTATCATACAAGAAAGAAGTCATAAGTGAACACCACCAGAACCGCTGCTGTCTTCTCTGGACCAAAGATGATTTAAAATGGACAGAGACAAAGAGCAGAACTGTGGTCAGACAGATTTAAATCTTAGATTCTGTTCAGAAACAGACAGCGTCATCCACACTGTTATCAACACACAGTTTAAAAGCTTTCCTCTCTAATGGTATGGGGATGCATTATTGCATCTGGCACCTTACACATCTGGAAAGAAAGCATCAATATACAGTCCCCTCCAAAAGTATAGGAACAGCAAGTCAAAATATCTTATTTTGTTGTACGCTGAAGAATTATAGATCAAAAGATGAGCATGAGATAATGGGAATGTCAGCTTTTAATTCCTTATATTTAAATGTAGATGTGTTAAACCACCACCTAGGTTCCAATGTGGGTTTAAGATTACTGCTATTCATTACATTCTGTTTTTATCAACTTTAACATCAATGTCCCAATTTTATTTGTAAAGTTTGTTTAATTTTAGAGACAGACTGAGGAAGAGACAGTTTTTATAGTAACTCTACACTCAAGTTTTGTATTGAATGTAATGTGTCTGAATATCAGATTAATGTTGTGGATGTTAAAAATAGATTGAAGTTTCATGATTTCATACCAAGGCGCAGTTTGTCTCTAGGAAATTCCCACTTCTGATTGTACGGCAGCTGGGTTGGGTCAACAAAGGTGTAGTTGTTTCCGTCTGTGCTCTCAATAATCTTCCAGCGTATCTCATACTTTGGAGTCTGGTGAAAAGAGAACAAAAATATTCTGGTTATCTTTGGTTCCTATGAACCTAAAGCTAAATATTTATTGATGTACACTAGGACCTGAAAACTCAGTTTCCCACAAACCCCCCCTCAGACTCCACACATTGCAACATATCTAACTGATCACTTGATAGTGTCATCTAAACTTACCTGTCTGCACTTATATAAGACAACCAATAGAAGGAGGAGGAGGATGGTCGCCATACTCAGAGCTCCAAACAGAGGGGCTGTGAAGATGGCACGAAGACCTGTAGGATCTGAAATCAAACAATGTTGGTTCTTTATTCAGTTCAATAAAGTTTATTTAAATAGCATCAAGTCGCACCAAAGATCATCTGAGGGCACCGTCCAAAAGAAAAACAGTCATTGTAAAGAAACCAGCAGATTGTTTTCACTTGTGTTTACTTTGGGTCTGTTGGACCATGACTCAGGGTCTGTTGGACCCTGATCTTGGGTCTGTTAGACC